GCGGAGGACGGGCAGGAGGGGAGCGACGACGATGCAAAGAGGGCTCGGATCCAGGAGAGCGGCCCGCGCCGGGGCGAGAGCGCCGATCGGAACGGCGGGGGCCAAGCCCCGATCCGAAAACGGGGCCCCCGCTGCAGCGGGAGCACCACTCTCGAAACACCGAAGACAATCGGACCATAAACGATAAGCAGACGACAAACATTGAAATCCTGAGCGTTACATATATATATATATACTAGAACCACGCGCGCGCTTCGCGCGCGCTTAGGTTCTAGTTTGCTCCGAAAACGGTGTTCGCAAGCACGGGTCCGATTCCGTGGCGATTCGCGGGAAATCTACGTCCGAAAATGACGTGTTGCCAGAGGCAGGTCCGCGGATGCTTTAATGCAACGTGTCCAGTGTATCCAACGATTGCATACTTGTTACATATGCTACATATTGTATTGTTCTGCAATATTAGGCCCCCCCCCCCCTTGGAGCCGCGCCACATCGTCGGACCAAATCTGGAGGGCCTCATTCTGGGCCTCAAAACATAGAAAGACCTATGGAAAATCAACAATTTCGGCCTCTTGGGCCTCTTGGGACTCCAAGAGGGCCTCAAGATGGCCGACGATGGCCCCAAGACAGCCCAAGACGGCCTCAAGACGGCCCAAAATGGCCCCAAGAGGGCCCATGAGGCTCCCAAGAAGATCCACGAGAGCACTCAAACCCGAACAATCTTTCCATGACACCCTCACCCTTAGACCCGAACCTTGAGACCGAAGACCCGAGCCCAGAAATCGAACCCGAACGCCTCAACATCTCAAATGAAGAGGCTCATCCCCGCTCCACCGTTTCCTCCTTCCTTCTGAATCCTTCCTTCTTCCACTTGCTCAAACTCCTCCTCCTCCTCCTCCTCCTCCTCCTCCTCATCGCCCTCCTCCTCCCACTCCTCCTCCTCCTCCTCCTCCTCCTCCTCCTCCTCCTCCTCCTCCTTCTCCTCCTTCTCCCCCTCCTCCTCCTCCTCCTCCTCCCCCTCCTCCTCCTCCTTCTCCTCCTTCTCCTCCTCATCCCCGTCCCTCCCCTCCCCCTCCTCGTCCTCCCCATCCCCCTCCAATGCGCCGGGCCGGGCATGGTATGGAAACTGCCTTCGCCGACTCTCTGCCGCCTTGCCTCTTGGGGCCTCTTTGGGGCCTCTTAGGCACCTCTTGGAAGCCTCTTGGGGGCCTCTTGGGGGCCTCTTGGGGCATCCTGGGGCCTTCTTGGGGTTGTCTTGGGGCCCTCTCGGGCCGTTTTGGGGGCCTCTTTGGCCGTCTTGGCGCCCTCTCGGGCCGTCTTGGGCGCCTCTTGGGAACCTCTTGGGCCGTCTTGGGGCGGTCGTGGGGGTCTTTTCGACCGTCTTCAACGCCGTGAAGGCCCAGGAGCGTCCCGGGAGGCCTTCCTGGGCTGTCTTCGGGCTATCCTAGGGCGCCTCGTGGGGCTTTCGGACCGCTCCGACAGCCAAGGGAGCTGATATCCTAAAAATGTACGTTTTACGAAGGGAATGGGGCCATTTTGGTCTCCCGGGGCGCTCTTGGGGGGCCTCTTGGAGGCCTCTTGGGGCGGTTTGATGGCCTCTTGGCCCTTCTGGAAGCGATCTTTTGCGGTCTTGAAGCGATCCTGGGGTTCTCTCGGCGCTCTTGGAGCCTTCTTGGGCGGACTGGGCAGCCCGGGGGCCGCCGGAGGAGCGTCCCGGGAGGCCCTCCTGGGCCGTCTTGGGGCTGTCCTCAGTCGTCCTGGAGCGTCCTTGGGCGCCTCGTGGGGCTTTCTGGCCGCTCCGACAGCTAAGGGAGCTGATATCGTAAAAATGTACGTTTTACGAAAGGAATGGGGCTATTTTGGTCTCCCGGGGCGCTCGTGGGGGGCCTCTTGAAGGCCTCTTGGGGCGGTTTGAGCGCGACTTGACCCTTCTGGAAGCGATCTTTGGCGGTCTTGAAGCGATCCTGGGGTTCTCTCGGCGCTCCTGGAGGGCCTCATTCTGGGCCTCAAAACATAGAAAGACCTATGGAAAATCAACAATTTCGGCCTCTTGGGCCTCTTGGGACTCCAAGAGGGCCTCAAGATGGCCGACGATGGCCCCAAGACAGCCCAAGACGGCCTCAAGACGGCCCAAAATGGCCCCAAGAGGGCCCATGAGGCTCCCAAGAAGATCCACGAGAGCACTCAAACCCGAACAATCTTTCCATGACACCCTCACCCTTAGACCCGAACCTTGAGACCGAAGACCCGAGCCCAGAAATCGAACCCGAACGCCTCAACATCTCAAATGAAGAGGCTCATCCCCGCTCCACCGTTTCCTCCTTCCTTCTGAATCCTTCCTTCTTCCACTTGCTCAAACTCCTCCTCCTCCTCCTCCTCATCGCCCTCCTCCTCCCTCCCTCCTCCCGCCTCTCCTCCTCCTCCTCCTCCTCCTCCTCCTCCTCCTTCTCCTCCTCCTCTCCCCCTCCTCCTCCTCCTCATCCCGTCCTCCTCCTCCTCCTTCTCCTCCTTCTCCTCCTCATCCCCGTCCCCCCCCTCCCCCTCCTCGTCCTCCCCATCCCCCTCCAATGCGCCGGGCCGGGCATGGTATGGAAACTGCCTTCGCCGACTCTCTGCCGCCTTGCCTCTTGGGGCCTCTTTGGGGCCTCTTAGGCACCTCTTGGAAGCCTCTTGGGGGCCTCTTGGGGGCCTCTTGGGGCATCCTGGGGCCTTCTTGGGGTTGTCTTGGGGCCCTCTCGGGCCGTTTTGGGGGCCTCTTTGGCCGTCTTGGCGCCCTCTCGGGCCGTCTTGGGCGCCTCTTGGGAACCTCTTGGGCCGTCTTGGGGCGGTCGTGGGGGTCTTTTCGACCGTCTTCAACGCCGTGAAGGCCCAGGAGCGTCCCGGGAGGCCTTCCTGGGCTGTCTTCGGGCTATCCTAGGGCGCCTCCTGGGGCTGTCTGACAACTCGGACAGCCAAGGGATGCTGATATCCTAAAAATGTACGTTTTACGAAGGGAATGGGGCCATTTTGGTCTCCCGGGGCGCTCTTGGGGGGCCTCTTGGAGGCCTCTTGGGGCGGTTTGATGGCCTCTTGGCCCTTCTGGAAGCGATCTTTTGCGGTCTAGAAGCGATCCTGGGGTTCTCTCGGCGCTCTTGGAGCCTTCTTGGGCGGACTGGGCAGCCCGGGGGCCGCCGGAGGAGCGTCCCGGGAGGGCCTCCTGGGCCGTCTTGGGGCTGTCCTCAGTCGTCCTGGAGCGTCCTTGGGCGCCTCGTGGGGCTTTCGGGCCGCTCCGACAGCTAAGGGAGCTGATATCGTAAAAATGTACGTTTTACGAAGGGAATGGGGCTATTTTGGTCTCCCGGGGCGCTCGTGGGGGGCCTCTTGAAGGCCTCTTGGGGCGGTTTGAGCGCGTCTTGACCCTTCTGGAAGCGATCTGTGGCGGTCTTGAAGCGATCCTGGGGTTCTCTCGGCGCTCCTGGAGCCCTCTTGGGCGGGCTGGAACGCGCGGGGGCCGCCGGAAGGGCGCCCCGGGAGAGGGCCGCACCCTATATACAAGGGAGGTTCCGGCCCGGGGCCCGGGGCCCGGGATCTCCCATATATGTATATACGTATATATAAACAAAACACGCGGAAGGGGGCGGCACCACGCCCCGGAGAACTTCATGGGAGAGAGGAGAACAGCATCCAAATCGAGAAACTGTAAAACCATTTTTCGGCACCTCCCCCTACACATGAACTGTTGGCGCTCCGCGCGGATTTCTTGGATCCGCGCTGGTCCTCCCCGGCGGCGCCTCCGGCGCCGCCCCAGGGCCCAGCGCGGATCCAAGAACTCCGCGCGGAGCGCCAGAAGTTTCTGCTGATGCCGCTTCTGAGCGCACCCGCATGGAGACCTTGTAGAACCAGCTTTGTGCTCCTGCGTTGCTCCTCCCCGTGCGTGCCGGGGCCTGCGGCCCATAATCAAGGGGCCCAAGGACACACAAACAAATACACACAAAAACAGGATCTCCAACATTTCCTATATTTTCTGGGTTTTTGTCTCCCCCCCCCACTTCCCAGATCTTCCCACATTTCCTGGGGAATCGACGATGGATTGTGTCTGTGTGTTTCTTTCCCTCCTGATCTACTCCGACCCCATCTAGCAGGCCTCGACTGGCGAGGTTGGAAAGCACCCGATCGCCCCGAGATCCAACAGGCTGCGGTCCAGGGCAGGCACGGGCCACCGCGGCAGAGGCGGAGCCCCCTCCCCGCCCACACGGAAGGGGCCCACGAGCACACAAGTCAATACGCACAAATGACAGGAATCGACGATTAATTGTGTCTGTGTGTTTCTTGTCCTCCTGACCAAAGAGCTCCGCGGGCGGCGACACGCGCAGTGCCGAGCAAGAGGCCCGGCGGCGCCCCAAAAAGAGCGAGGGCACCGACGCGGCGAGCAGAGGGCCCTCTCTAGGGGGAAAACAAACCTACCTCGCTTTTGACCACCCTCGCTTCCAAGAGATACCAAACGATGCCAAACTACGGCCTGTATTGGTCAGGCCGCTTGACGAGGAGGCGCGTGGTATGACTTGGTTTTGCCTGAAGCGAAACCGGGGTAGGTAATTCACGCTCTGAATCCCAGGCCCCCGGAAGGGGATCCTCTCGGAGGGCACGCGCCGCACCCCGCGGGAGCGGCCCGACCGCGCGCGGGCCCAAGCGGTGACAGGCACCGCAGCTCTGCGCGCTTTGGGAGGGGGAGGGAGGGAGGGAGGGAGGGAGGGAGGAGGGAGGAGGGAGGGAGGGAGGGAGGGAGGGAGGGAGGGAGGAGGGAGGAGGAGGAGGAGGAGGAGGAGGAGGAGGAGGAGGAGGAGGAGGAGGAGGAGGAGGAGGGGGAGAAGGAGGAGGAGGGGGAGGAGGAGGAGGAGCAGGAGGAGGAGGGGAGGAGGAGGAGGACATGGAGGAGGAAGAGGAGGAGGGGAGTAGGAGGAGGACATGAGGAGGAGGGGAGGAGGAGGAGGAGGAGGAGGAGGGAACCTGGACCCGCCCCCCTCCGCTGCGCGGCGTCGGCCTGCTGCGCGTCCCTCCGGGCGGCCACGAGCCGGGCGCCTCCGGGCTGCGCCAAGCGGGCCTTCGTCTCCTCCGCCTCGACCTTGCCGGGGCGGGCGCGCGCGCAGGAGGAGGAGGCGGAGGAGGATGGGGAGGAGGAGGAGGAGGAGGAGGAGGAGGAGGAGGGGGAGGAGGAGGAGGAGAAGGAGAAGGAGGAGAAGGGAGGAGGAGGAGGAGGGGGAGAGGAGGAGGAGGAGGAGGATGGAGGAGGAGGAGGAGGAGGAGGAGGAGGAGGAGGAGGGGAGGAGGGGGAGGAGGGAGGAGGAGGAGGAGGAGGAGGAGGAGGAGGAGGAGGAGGACAAGGAGGACAAGGAGGAGCACCGCCGGCGTACCCGGCCAGGGGCCATCCAGGGCGCTGGCACGGAGTGCACGCCCACCTGGCCGAGGCCGGGAAGGTCCGTGCTTTCTACCGCCCGTGTGCCTCCCTGCGGCCCCGGATGGCCCCGACCATGCCTTGTGGTGGTGGTGGCGATGTGCAAGTGCCTTCTGCGCAAAGAAAGGGAGGAGGAGCATGAGGAGGAGCATGAGGAGGAGGAGGAGGAGGAGGAGGAGGAGGAGGAGGAGGAAGGCCATGACCTCTCAGCGCCGCGGCAGGACCGTCACGGGCGATCTCTCGAGTCTTAGACTTCGCGGCCCACTGGCTGTCTCCCTTGCCGCGGAACGCTGATCGGGGGTTCAAGGATCCACGAGGGGGTTCGCAAAGCATGGCCCGAGGCACGTGCGCGGCCCAGAAGCGGCCAACGGGACGTGTTGCAAGAATAGCATATCAAGGCAGAGGATAACGAGAACTAGGGAGAAGAAAGAGGAGGGACGAATCGAGGAGGGAGGAGGCCACAGAGCCGCGAAGATCACCGAATCCGGAGCCCCACGGATCGGCGGCACTCGCCAGAGGCCATTACAATAACATGTCAAGGCCTTAACTAAGAAAACATGGTAGTCTGAAAAGACGAGTGTGAATAACACGTAGCGCTACGAAACACAACACATCGTAATGCCCAGAAGCGCAGCAAAGTAAAACAACACACAAGTATACTACGAATGAGAAGAAGTGGGGGTCTCTCCTGGAAGTGGCCAGCTTGCTGTCTGGGAAGAGGAAGACAGATCAGGTTGGCAACCACGTGCGACACCTACCCCTGCAGGTCATGCTTCGGGAAACATGAACAGCTGGGAGTCAGAATTCGAAGGATGTCTGCAGTGCGGTGGCCCGCAACGGGCGTGTCCGCCGAATGGCCACGCAGTGCTAGGATCCGCAAGTGGTCGCAGATCAGGAGCACGGGGAGGTTTCAGGAGAGGAGCAGTCGACCTCATTGAAGTAGAGCCGCTGCGCCACCTTGCGCCGCTGGTCCAAATAAGACCGCCGCCTCCTGGCCCGGTTGATCACGGTCAGGAATCGTGCCCTGCGCAGCCTGCCGCGGTACCACCGCTGGATCAGTGCCGCGGCCTGGGTCGGCGAGGGGGCGCTGCGCGGCTGCATCGTCGGCTGATGCACGGCCTGCGGCAGCTGCTGCGGCGTCGGCTGGAAGTCGGCATGCTGCCCAGGCTGCGGCTGCTGGTGCCATTGCTGCTGCCCCATCTGCTGTGAGTGATGCGGCGCAGGCTGGTGCACCGCTTCCAGTGCGGGCTGCTGTGGCGGCTGCTGAAACTGCTGCGGCAGCGGCTGATGCACCGCCTGCTGCTGGTACACATCCTGCTGGAACTGATGCTGCTGAAGCTGCTGCTGGTATTGCTGCTCCAGGGGCAGCTGCTCCTGCTGCTGCTGCTGCTGCTGATGCTGCTGCTGCTGCTGCTGCTGATGCTGCTGCTGCAGCTGCTGCTGCTGCTGCTGAAACGCCACTGTGGGGGCGGTCGCATCCCCAACAATGTGCGGCTGCATCTGCAGCGTGGGCTGCAAGACCTCACCTGGCGGCTCCTGCAGCAGGTGCTGCTGCTGCTGCTGGAGGTGCTGCTGCTGCTGCTGCTGGACTTGCTGCTGCCACATCAACTGCTCTTGCTGCTGCTGAAGCGTCAATGCGGGAGCGGCTGCATCCCCGACAAAAGGCCGCTGCGGCTGCAGCGTGGCCGGCTGATGCGCTGCCCACTGCGATGGCGACTGCTCCATGGCGGCGGCGGAAGCGAGGGAGTGAAGGGAAGGGGGCCCTCCTTCTCCTCCACCTCCGCGAGGGGGACGGAGGGGATTCCCATGGAGGGGCCTGAGCGGCGCAGCGCGAACACGGCAGCATCACTGAGAGAGAGAGAGGTGAAGGCGGAGGCACTCGGCGCAGACAACCGGGAGGGAGGGCGCACCACAGACGCACTGATCTGATTCTCTCGGGCGGTATGCAAGTGGCACGCGCGCTCAGGATCATCAGCGGTACGATCGGCGAGCCAGGCGAGATAGGAGGCTCGGGAAGGGGCGGGGCCGTCATCGAGGCCGCTGTTTGGGCACGCGGCAGTCTGCCTCACAGAAGGGGCACCGCCCGCGGCGACACCGACAGCGAGCCCTGTCCAAGATGGGCAGGAACTGCTGTCGCGGTCTCTGTACTCCAGATTTCGTAATCAAAGGGAGTGGGTCACAATCCTCCCAGACCACAAGTTTTAGACACCCCCGACCATCCATGAAAGGGCGGCACTTTGCCCAGACCCCCCCTAACCCTTCAAGACAGCTCAAATCAGACCCTCCCGCCAAATGTACCCCCCCTACTTTATGATGGAATCCGGAGTACGTGCCCATTCGTTTCCGTACCCCACCTCGATCGCCCCGATCCCCGAGCCGAGGATCGACTCAGGCGCCCTCCCGACTCGGGCCGGGGAGGCCATCGCTCTGGGCCTGGGCCAAGGATACACACGTCGTTCATTTCTAATCGTGCTCATTTCTAATTTTGCTCGTTTCTGACTGTTCCTGGCCCCCTAGTGGCCAGGAAGAGGCCCAGGATAGAACACTTAGAAATGAAAGGATACTGGCCCCCCAACCAATCAAAGAACTTTCGAATACTTAGAAATGAAAATGTAGGCCCAGACGGGGCGCGGTGTGCAGCGCGGGCGCGGCCGCGGGAAACCCTCGCGGGAAAGCCAGCCGAGAAGACCCGCGCGATCGGTGCGACGTCATGGGCAAGCCCACAGGGCACACTGAACCCAGACCCCCTCGCGCAGTGAAAACACATCGCGACGGGAGGTGCTTCGCCACTTTTGGCTTCGGGGCGCCCGTACTGGGCCTCGGGACCGTCCAAAAACGACTCAGGGGAATGGGTCGGGGCCGACGCTACGAACAAATCGTGACGTCGAGGGTCTGAGTGCACGGTTTCCCCCGGGGCCACAGGCGCCCCGACAAGGAGGAGGAGGAGGAGGAGGAGGAGGAGGAGGAGGAGGAGGAGGAGGAGGAGGAGGGAGGGGGAGGAGGAGGGAGGGCGGGAGGGAGGGAGGGGAGGAGGAGGCGGGTGGAGGAGGAGGAGGAGGAGGAGGAGGAGGAGGAGGAGGAGAGGAGGAGGAGAGGAGGAGGAGGACGGATCGCCTGAGCCCTTCGAGAAAACCCTCCAAGCTCTCTTGGGGCCATCTCGGGGCCCGTGCGGGCCGGGTCGCAGGGCCCGGGGGCCGGCTGGAGGGGTCTGGGGCCCGGGGCCGCCGCCGGGCGAGCGAGCCCTCTTGACTCTTGAGCGAGAGCGCCGGACGTGTGCGCAAGCCGCTGGGATCTGCACGACCTGGGGGCGCTGCGTCCCCGCGCGTGGCTGCCTACCTCCCAGACCACCCCAACCCAGCCCGAAGACCCGAATTTCGGGTGGGGGGGGGTAAGGGTTCCATCTGTGTTTTTTCAATGTTTCCAGACCCCCCCCTGGAAATCGAGGGTCAATCTGCGCCTTCGGGTTGGGTTGGGGTGGTTTGGTGGATGGTGAGTGGCTGCATCCTCCCTCCTGCCTCCCCTAGGTGAAGTCCACAAGCTCTCCAGCAGGACGAGTCAGCGGGGAGCGTCCCGGATAATAGGCCCCCGGGAGCCCCGAGACGGTGAACAACAATCCTGGCCCCCTTCCCTCCAGGACCTCTCGTCTTCAGGCGGAGCAGAGGCGAGAGAGGCCCAAGAACACAAGACAGTTCCGAAGGCTACAATGCCATACTCTAGATTTCTTAATAACCGTGGGGGGGTACCCCCCCGACGGGGGTCAACCTCGCCTCGTCGTCGCTCCGCGACGGGGGTCGGAGCGCCTTCGGCGCGCGGTGGCTGCCCGCGACGGGGGTCGATGTGGGGCTTTCGGCGGGGGTGACGCCCCCCCGGACGCTTCTTCAAAAACTACGAGCAGGCACGTAGAAGGCACGGGCCGCGAACCACAGGACACGAGCGTACTCTTGACTCGGCAGGGTCGCCCTGCTCATCAGTCTCGACTCCAGGTCTCCCCTTCTACTCCTCCGGCTCCTCCTGCTCCTCCTCCTCCTCCACCACCTCCTCCTCCTCCTCCTCCTCCTCCTCCCTGCTTATCAGTCTCGACTCCAGGACCCCTCTTCTCCAAGCCGAGCAGAGGCGAGAGCCGTCCAGGCCCGGGCGTGGTTGCTTGCTTGGCTCGGCTTGCCTTCGCGCCTGGCGCCGCGCGCCACACCCTCGCTCGGCGGGGAAAAGAAGGGGGAGGGGAGGAGACCGGGGGAGGAGGAGGGGAGGGGACGAAGGAGGGAGGAGGAGGGGAGGGAGGGAGGGAGGGAGGGAGGGAGGGAGGGAGGGAGGGAGGAGAAGGAGGAGGAGAAAGAGGAGGAGAAGGAGGAGGAGGAGGGGGGGGGATGAGGAGGATGAGGAGGATGAGAGGAGGAGGAGGAGGAGGAGAAGGAGGTGGAGGAGGAGGAGAGGGAGAGGAGGAGGAGGGAGGAGGAGGAGGAGGGAGGAGGAGGAGGAGGAGGAGGAGGAGGAGGAGGAGGAGGAGGAGGAGGAGGAGGAGGAGGAGGAGGAGGAGGAGGAGGAGAGGAGGAGGAGGAGGGGGAGGAGGAGGAGGAGGAGGAGGAGGAGGAGGAGGGGAGGAGGAGGAGGAGGAGGAGGAGGAGAGGAGGAGGGAGGAGGAGGAGGAGGAGGAGGAGGAGGAGGAGGAGGAGGAGGAGGAGGAGGAGGAGGAGGAGGAGAGGAGGAGGAGGAGGAGGAGGAGGAGGAGGAGGAGGAGGAGAGGGAGGAGGAGGAGGAGTAGGAGGAGGAGGGGGGGGGCCGGGATTTTGGATTGCGCTGCTGATGAAGCGCATGGCCTGTCAGCTAATGGCGGCGCTGCAGCTAGCAGAGGCAGTTAGCACAGTCAACTCGTGTGGCTGTGCTAAGAGGCGAAGCTCGCAAACTCTGCACGGGCACCTGAAGTCAAGTCAGACAGTAACTTCCTCCACCCATCCTGCCTAACCCCACGAATCCCACCCAGTCCCATAGTATTAACTACGCGCGCAACTGGGTGCGAGGCAGCCATGTGGACGCAGAGCGTCTGATACTAGGCGGAGAAGGGTTGAAACTTTCAACCGTGGCCAGGAAGTGGCGGCAGACAGGGTGGGCAATCCTGAACGGTTGCTCTCGGCGTATCCCTGGCCGCGCCAGGACATCACGCTACACAGAGATGTACTCGCTGACTTATCCCCTCCACAATGCTACCAGCCACTCCCACGCCCATCCTTATCTGCAAGACAAAAGCAAGAAAGGCTGGCGGCAGGCGGGGGCTGCGGCGTGCAGCCGCATGAGCGCCTGGCTGGCGGCGCGCGGACCGACGGACACTCGGGGGTTCGGTGCCACACGCAACGGGTGTGTGGTTAGCGACGGACTACGCTCACCGAGCCCCCTGCCGCTGCCCCCCGCGGGCCAAGGCTTGAAGCTAGACAGTCGGGCGGTGACAGAACCGCGAGGGGGCGCACCTCTGCCCAGGTTGACGGTGGAGAGAGAGCAGGCGAGCGGGTGGCAAGCAGGCGGCGGCGGAAAGCAGCAAGAGAGGCAGGCACATGCCTCTCCGATCTCAGCACGTCCGCCCAACCTGCCATACCCAACCCCCTCTCGAATAAGAGCGCCCTATGGCCCCCTCCCCTCACGGTTCGACCCTTGGTTCGGCCGACCTGGCTGACACTCGAGCTGGCGACAGTTGCGCACGTCAACTGCTTTCAGTGAAACCTGTTGCGCACCGTCTGAAATTTAGTCTCAGAGAGAGAGGGCAAGAGGGCGGGGCAGCACATGCAGGCAGGCCGTGCACAAGAGAGAGCAAGAGAGGCGGGCTGCCGCTCTCTCTGACTGTTGCTACACTGCCTCGCTGCTGATACCTCCAACTGCCCGACCTACCAATCCCAGCCCTCTCCCGACTACACGACGCGGTCTTCACGACCGCTGTGGCTCTCAAAGCCGCTGGGCTCAACGACTTTACCTCGGCGAGAGCCGCTGTGGGGCGGGGGCTTCGCGAGTTCCTTTCGGAGCGCCCACTATGGCCCCCTCCCCTCACGGATCGACCCTCGGTTCGGCCGACAAGGCTGACGCTCGAGATGGCAACAGTTGCGCATTGCGACTGCTGTCAGTCAAACGTGATGCGTCTTATCTGAAAAATCTGGTCTCAGAGGGAGAGAGGGCAAGAGGGCGGGTCGGCACTGCAGGCAGGCCGAAGCGATGAAAGAGCAAAAGAGGCGGGCTGCCGCTCTCTCCGCTTGCTGTTACCCTGCCCCGCTGCTAGCACCTCGACCAATCCCCCAACGTTCCCTCCATACTACAAAAATCACCTGAAACTGCGGCCATCGGATACTCCTGGAAACTGAAGGTGGCCGGCAGACACACATCCATGGTCCAAGAGAGGCTGACTGCAGCAAAACTGATCCACGTGAAAGTTAGGCCTACTGTGGCGCAACTCTGGGTCAGACGGCTATGGAATGCAAGCTCGTTCAGCGGACGTGATTCCAGCTCAGCTCGGAACTGGCGGATGAGCTGGGGGTTATCTGTATACCACCACGGGGCTAGGCAAACGAGGAGGGCACGCATGAACCATAGCACCAGCCACGAGGCAAGGTCTTAGCACAGCTCGAAACACTGGCAACATAGGCGGAGAGATCAGAGCACGGCCACACAAGTACCCCACTGTCAGCCTGCTCGCCTGTCAAACCCCAAGACGGTGGTCCACCCAAGTGCCGTGTGCGTGGCGCGGGTGTCTGTGAGCTTCTAGGAAGGTGAGATAAGAGAGGTAACGAAAGGCTCGAAAGACGAAATAGTTGTGAGAGCAAGGCCAGGGCTGACAAAGTGCCTGACTGAAATGCAATCCCTTACCCATCCACCG